GAAATTATGACAGGTATCTGTTAATGACAAAGTCCATATAGTACCACATTGCAAGCTGGCCTTTTAAATATTTGGTGAGTATATTTCAAAACAATTAGTTTCCTCTGTAATCCTTTGTATTTTATTTTACAAACTTAAGAATATTATTCTGTGAGGGGTAAGCATAGAGATCACAGGATGAAAGGGCCCTGTGCACAGAAAGGTTAGGAGTCCTTGTCAAGTGCATAGGGTCTGGAGCCAGCCAGCCAGGCGAACCCTTTCTCTGCTCCTTACCTTGACACTGGACAGGCTACCCAGGTTCTCTGCGCTCCAGTTTTCTCATCTGTAAAGTAAGGACAAAGGCTGTTGGAAGGTATACTTGGGGAAACCATGTAAACACGTAGAACAGTGCCTTGCAGGGAGTAAGCCCTCAGTAAATGTTAGCCATCAGCAGGAAAGCATCTTACGTGAGACCCAAGGAAGGGAAGGGTAAACCGTAGGCGGGGATACACACACCAGAATGATTTCCCAAGGGAGAGAGAGAAAGCAAAGGTTAGGGCATGAGGAGGTAGGCAGGCTATGAGACTGGAGTTAGCAAACTCATCCATTCATTTACTCATTCATTCATTCAATAAAGGTTTCTTGAATGCCTGCTACGTGCCTCTCAACACTTTCACTAACACTTGTGGGGTCTGGAGCAGGTGTAGAAATGGAACTCACATACCGTATGTCTGAATATTTAAAAGTGGCAAATCAAGCTAACGATGTGTTCTGTTTTTCTACTCCCAACAGAGATGTCTTCAAAATAACACTAGTAATTGTTTTTATGCCACAAAGGTGGGAAAATATCAACGGTAACCAAATTTAATTATTGCAGGTATCTGAATGTACTTGGATGGTCTGGGAATGTTTAAATGGGTGGTAAAGACACACAATTCATAAATTATTATGTATTTGCTCCATAAAATTTCTTTTTCCCTGCCTTTATTTCATTTGTCATAACTGAGAACTTCACATAAATTGTGTTTTGTTGACAGTGCTGACAAAGGAGTAAAAAAACATATGTAATTGTACTCAAAGCATACAGAATTTATATGCATTTAATGTAAAATGTAAATAGAATTTTTTTCAATTAAAATTATTTTTGTGTTTGTTTTTAAAAAGTTACTCTACCAAAAGCTTTAAAACTATCTATTAAAATAAAAAATGATAATTGATAAATATCAAATATCTAAAATTATTTCAATATATCTGAGACTTTTTATTTTTGAAATGTAATTAAATTTCATTAATTTTTTTTTTTTTTGAGAGAAAACATGCGAGTGGGGTGGGGGTCGGTAGGGAGCAGAGGGAGAGAGAATCTCAAGCAGGCTCCACACTCAGCGTGGATCCCAATGCGGGGCTCATTCTCACGACCCTGAGATCATGACCTGAGCCGAAATCAAGAGTCAGACGCTCAACTGACTGAGCAACCTAGGTGCCCCTGTTTGTTTATTTATTTAAGTCATCTCTACACCCAACGTGGGGCTTGAACTCACGACCCCAAGATCAAGAGTCACATGCTCTCCTGACCGAGCCAGCCAGGTGCCCCCAACCTTGCAGTTTTCATGTTATTTACTATGCATATGCATATTTAAAAGTAATGTAAATTAATATTGCAAAGAGTTCCTCAGACTTCATTTGCAACTGTTATGAATTCCATGCTAATTCACAAGGACTCCCAGAACCACAAACAGGAACATTAATAGGATCAAGAAGATGGACACTTGGGACTTCTGGAAACTATACTTGCCATAATATTCTTGCAAAATAATAGATTATATGAGAATCTGTTACATCTCAGGTATTGCCAAATAATAGACTATACAAGAATCTATTACATTCCAAGGATTTGGCTAATTAATTTGCCTTTCCCAGCCGCAGTACTCTGGGGCTCACGCTGTGCCTGCCACTCAGTACAGAGAGGCTGTCACCATGTATTTCCAGGTCATAGACCAAGAGCTGTGGGGTAGTGTTTTCCTTTGGTTAGCCTGGATGGTACGTGCATCAGGTTAACTACAGAATTTGCCTTAGCTTCCTGTGATGGTTTTATCAAACAAGAATGTGTTAAATGAACCGTATACAACTCCTTAAACACTCGAATCGAGCTGTGCATAGCCTTCAGTAGACTAATTGTGAAGTGGTTGATTTTGGGTAACACAGGCTGGTGAAGCTAATCTTGAGAATCTTTCCTCTCAGTAGAGACTTCTATGTCACTCGCCCAGCCTGAAAAAGTGAGCTAATTATTGTGCTGGGAAATGACAGACATCACTTTCAGAGGAGGTAATATCTCCGCCCACAGACTATCCAAAACGTAGATTAGTAAGTAACATTTAGTTAAATGAAAATAGAGTCCAGTTAAATGTCACGCAGCAATGTTAAACAGCGGACCATATGTAAATGAGGAGGCAACTTGGTTAGATCGTGACTTTGAAAGTGTTAGGTGATCAGCAATGCCATTTTTATATGGTATGAAACTCCTCCATTGGGGCCAACTCTGCTGAAGCCCGTGGAGGGAATCCCATAATCATCACAGGTAAAGTGACTCTCAGAGGATACTTAGAACTTGAGAATAAGTTCTATGGACAACCCATGCATTTTCCTTCTCTTTTGCTACTTGCCCTCATTACTTTACTGATGACCAGCATGGGAAGCTAGGGAAGGCAAATTTTAAAGCAGTAAGTCTTGTAATAACAGTTACTGTTTTCTTGAGACCTATGTGCCAGGCATGGAGCTAGGTAGTTCATATTCATTGTTTCATTTAGTCCTCACTAAATGAGGATGAAGCACAGTGTTACTGTTTCTGTAAGACATGGTTGGAAAAATTGACTCAGGGAGGTTAAGAAGTTTGTCCAAGGTCATATAGCAGAGCCTGGATTCAATCCAAGTCAGTCTGACAGCAAAGCTTGGGCTCTTGCTCATGTGCCCTACTCCACTGCTCCCATTATGTGTGTGTGTGTGGGCAGGGGCGGGGGCATAATAAAATTGGGCTAAGGTAGCAAATGAAAACCAGAATGAAGTACCACCTACCAGGATGACTATAGTAAAAAAAAAAATTAATTAAAAACAAAATGAAAACATAACTCATCCCAGCCAGGATGTGGAGACATTGGAATCCTTATCCATTCCTGGTGGGGATGTACAATGGTGCAGCTGCCGTGGAAAACAGTCTGGCAATTCCTCAAAAAGTGAAACAGAATTACCATATACAGCAATTCTACTTCTAGGTATACACCCAAGAGAACTGAAAAAAATGTCCATTCAAAAGCGTACACACACATATTCAGAGCAGCATTATTCATAGTAATCAAGAAGGGGAATAATTCAAATGTCCATCACCTGATGAATGGAGAGACAACATGTGGACATCCATCCAGTGGAATATTATTCTGCTAAGTGAAAGAAGCCAAGACGCTGTATCAGTCTATGGATATGGAATGTCCAGAACAGGCAAATTCATAGAGACAGAAAGCAGACCAGTGGTTACCAGGGTCAAGGTCGGCCTGCCCTGGGGAGTGACTGCTCATAGGGATATTTTGGGAGTGACGAAAATGTTCTGGAATGATATAAAGATGAGAGTTGCACAACATAGGGAATATCAGTGAATTCCATGAAATAAACACTTTAAAATAGTGACATTTATGTTATATGAGGTATATCTTAATTTTTTTAGAGACATCTTCAGGTCAGGTCCCAGAAGTCCTTGAATAGTGGGCTATAGGATCCGGGTTTCCTTTGGTGGCCAACAGGGAGCCACAGAAACTTTCTAATGAGGATGGTGGTATGATAGGAGTCATGGGAACATGTAAACTGCATAGCATATAGCAAGTGTGTAATAAACATTGGCTCCCTTCTCCCTTCCTCCCCCAATTCGACACTAAGCCCCCATGGCTCCTGGGGGAAAATAGTTCTTTTCTGTTTGGGTCCTAACAGAAAGCCATCTGTTTCAGTTGAAACCACTGTTGCTATAGGTTCCCCTGGTCATCTTCCTGAGGGTCCCTAGCCTCCCAATGCTGGGCAGGTTCATTTTAGTGTCCCTAGAACATCTTCCTCCTCTTCCTCCCTCCTCCTCACCACCCCTTCCTCATCTCTTTCTCCTGTACTCCTCTTCCTCTCCTTCTTTTTCAATTTTTTAAGTTTTTATTTATTTATTTAAGTAATTTCTACACCCCAAATGGGGCTTGAACTCAGGACCCCGAGATCAAGAGTTGCATGCTCTTCTGACTGAGCCAGCCAGGAGCCCCCTTCTTCTTCCTTTTTTTTTTTTAATTAAAATAATGGTTTTCTAAAAAACCCTCATAGATCTCAACTTTACCTAAAGTTATCCACCATATAAGTTCTATGCCTTCCTTGTCTCCACTTCATTTCTCCCTCCTTCTTCCCCCATCTCACCCACATAGCAAGGAGCTCAGTAGAAAGGAATCAGGTTGCCCTGGGTTCCAGTCCTGGCTCCCCATCCTGCTGATTATCTGGCTAGATTCATAGGCTCAATGTTCTCATTTGCATAATGTCACTCTAATAATAATGATAATGTCAACTCCTGGGGTTCTTTTGAGGATAGTATTCATTAAAGCGCTTATTAGAGTGATGCCTGGTACATCAGCGCCCTCAGTGAATTATGGCTAGAGCATCACTATTATTATACCAGTAGGGGGTAGGGTATGGCAAAAGTGCTGATATTTCTTTAGAAGTGGATTTCATCCCTCAAATCTCAAACATGTGTAGGACGCATTAAAGGTTTTGACAAGGAGGGCTACTTTAAGTGACAACACCCTTTCCCAAAGTCATCTGAGAGATGTCCTAACAGTACATAGCTGCTTCCAAGAAATGATTTGAAGTGCCATTATCAAGGGAGGACGGGGGCTCTAGGGGATTTTGGGGTCAACAAACATCAAATGCGCGACCTCACAGAGTCGTGGCAGGAATTTCCCATGAGGCCCCGCCCCCGGCTGAGTCACCAAGCCCCTGTGTTTGACTTGCAGCGAGGGAGAGGCAGAACCTCACTGCTCTGAAGATCAAGGAGTGGAAAGTTCTTCACCAGCCCTGAGAATCTCAAGGTTTGTCTGTCTGGAACAGTCGGGGGAATGGAGTTGGGGTAAGGTTAGAAGCTTTATTCCTTTCCTCCATGTCTAGACTTTTTGCCCTTCTAATTTCTAATAACTTTTATTCCATAGCCTATTAAATAAAGATCAAGCACCTGACCCTAAAGAGATTTCTTACTTCTTAGTTTTGTTACTATAGGAGCTTCCAACCTCAAAATGGGCAAATATATATCTATTAAGAAAATGTGATCATGAGTTGAGCAGAGCGGTGTTTCAACATTTTAGCAACTGGGTGTTGAACTGTTCACATATTGTTCTGACAAAGGGGAAAGAGTAATGAGATATCTCCCCACTGAGCTGAGCTGTTAGGTAAGACTGACAGATTGTCATTTTAAGAACTCTATCTCAGAGCCAGCAAAGAGCTGGCATTGTTGAAATCTGGATGCTAATGCTAAGTGTCTATGAAAGTCCCCCAAAATTCTTGTTATTGTTATTTCTGCTTTTTGGCAGAACATGGAGAGTGCACGGTTAGACTTTGGCAAACCTGCACGAAGCTATGTGTGTATTCATGTTTGTCTTATCATATCAAATGTCTATGCATTTGCACCTTTTCCATAATATTCCATCATTCATTGTTTCTGAGAAGCCCCGAGTTATGGTCTTGTGGATTGCATAGGTAATGGTTGAAATGTAGATAATCCTAAAAGGAGAAACCACCTCATTCTTGGAAATTTTTACCTTTTGCAGAGTGGTATTTGTGAAACCAGCTACTTTGATTAAAACCCTTTGGAATCTGCTTTGCTTATATCCTATCGATGCAAGATTTCACCATGGGCAGTAGCTATTACAACATAGTGGCTGCCGTGTTGTTGGTCATGAATTTTGAGAGGACAAGATCAATGCAGGATTCCTGCAGTAAATGCCCAGCTGGTAAGAACCAAATTAACATGTGTGTTTGATCTGTTCTGTTGAACTCATGGTTCAGTTAGTCTAGTAGTCAGGGTTAATGAGTTCTGTTTCAGTGACTTTTTAAAAATTCATTCATTTACAAATATTTCTTGGGTGCTACAACTTAGCTGTGAATATAGCCATGTCACTTAATCCCTTGTGCCCCAGCTTTGGCATCTGGGGATAATGAAAGAACCTATCTCGTTGCTCTGCTGGGAGGATCCTATGATAGGTTCTGAACAGTGCATGGCACATGGCAAGACCTCAGTAAATGTCAGCCTTATCTGTGAGGACCTGTGCTCAGACTGGGGGGCACAGCAAGGAATAAGAAGTGGCAGGGGGCTCCACAGAGTGGGGAAGAAGCAGACACATGTATTGTTAGTATACTGATGAAGGATGCTGATCTCCTGAATCCAGTCATATTGATCTCCTGGATCAATCAAGAGAAATCATTTTTTTTGTTCAATAGATAAAGGAAACTGTTTTCTTTTTGTTGGATTGTGTGATGCAGTATCTATACTTTCTTATTTGTAATTCTGCTGCTATGCTAAAGGCAACCTTGCAAATGTATAATTATAAAAGTCAATCAAAATAAGATCACTGTGACATCTAGAAACTAATCATGTTTCTTACTCTAGTTTTCTTGTGAACTTCATAATGCTTTGGGCGATTACTATGCATTGTCCAACAGTACACCTATTATCTATCTTCTTAGGTACTTTCTGTGGGAAAAACAAGGGTCAGATCTGCCTTCCTTGTCCTCCAAACAGTTTCTCCAGCACCAGTGGACAAACGGCCTGTGACATATGCAGGCAGTGTGAAGGTATGATTTAAAAGATGTATGTTGATCCGGACATGTGTTGGGACAACAGGTTTTTATTCCCTAGTATGTTGATCTCGGTGGAAAGTGTTAAGTGTTAACTATGCTGGTTCCTCTGTCAAAAGGCAGGTCCAGTAAAATAATTTGCTGTAAAAGCAATAATTTGTAGATTGAGGTTTTAAATGTTAGGAGCAACACTCATTGACCAGAGAGAAGTGTTTAATTAGGAAAATGTAAAAATGTCTTCTATAGAGATTTAAACAATGAACTTTATACTTTAAGGTCATTAGGAACATTATAAGAGTGAGCATGGTTTTTGTGGGTTTGTTTAGGATGATTTTTATTGCAGAACATAAATTTGCTTCCTGGATTCAAAGATCAAGTGTAATGTAACTTGGGAAACTTTGTAGGTGTTTTCAGGACCAAGAAGGTGTGTTCCCCCATCAGCAATGCAGAGTGTGAGTGCATCTCAGGATTCCACTGCTTGGGGGCAGGATGCACCATGTGTGAACCGGATTGTAAACAAGGTCAAGAATTAACCAAAGAGGGTAGGTTTGCTCTTCTTCAATCTAGTGCAAGTCTGTTTATCTAGACATATGTCATTAATTTAGGTCTTGGTCCTTTTTATATAAAGTAAAACAGATTAGTAGAACCTTAAAGTAACATGCAATGAAGCACTGAGTCAAGTATATGATATTTACAAAATTATTTTTCAATCAATGGAAATAATTTGAAATCACAACATTTTTATTCACCAGGATTATGCCTTTGCATACATTCTATACATATATATACAATACTCTATGTACAATTAGAATAAAAACTTTAGTCATCTTGGGGTTTCGTTTCAAGAAGCATTGTTGAACAGCCTGTGTAGATTGTATTAAGTTAATGACTTTATTATTATGTAAGTATGTTCATCACAGGAAAAGTTATGAAATCATAAAAAACTCCCTTTTTTATTGTTGCTTTAATTTTTATGCAGGTTGTAAAGACTGTCGCTTTGGGACATTTAATGATCAGAAACATGGCTCCTGTCAACCCTGGACAAAGTACATATAATTTCCTTTTGCTTTCAAAATAGAGAATCTGGATTAACATTTTTGGGTTTTTTATTTATTTATTTTTTATAAAGGTTTGGTTGTTGTTGTTGTTTTTAATATTTTATTTATTTATTTGTTAGAGAGAGAGAGCACAAGCAGGGGGAATGGCAGGCAGAGGAAGAAGCAGTCTCCCCATCAAGCAAGGAGACCGACTAGGGACTCGATCCCAGGACATTGGGATCCTGACCTGAGCTGAAGGCAGACGCTTAACCGACTGAGCCACCCAGGCATCCCTGGGTTAACATTTTTAAAGACAAAGAATGTTATCACTGAAGTTTTAAAAAATCCCTCTGGGGCGCCTGGCTGGCTCAGTCAGTGGAGCATGTGAGTCTTGATCTCAGGGTCATGAGTTAAGCCCCACGTGGGCCTATCAAATATAAGCATAGAAGAGCATATGAACAGGCAGTGTGTGAACAGTATGAGGTAGGAGTGATTTGATACAAAGTGGGCATTTTCTCCAGAAATACTGCCCAGAGCATTTAGCTCAGATTTACTAGAACTTTGTTACTGTTTGCCCCAGCTGTTCTGTTCTGTTTCCTTCCAATCTCTTTGCTGCCTCTTACCTTTCCTCACTGATCACTCAGCCCATCTTCAAGGGTGCAAGGCCAGCATTGAGGATGATACAAGAAGGGTAAATTATGTTTCCTAAAACACAACACCTACTTGGGCAAACAAGACCATCACAGAAGTAAAACAGCCAACAGCACACATGGGAATATGCCTGTTGACCTGTGTGATCAGGACCAGAGCTACTCAGAGTGTGGTCTGTGGACAGTTGCTGGTCCACGGACAGTCTGTGGTGTCTGGCAATTGGCGGAGTCATATGTGTCCATCAACTCTAATAAAAATTGAGGTCTTGTATGCCTTTGTTCTTTTTTTCATTTGATTTTCTTACTAGAAAATCATTTTGATTATTATTTTCCATTTACATTCTTAGGTGTTACAAAAATATTGGTTCGTACAGATTGGGGAAGTTTTTTTTTTTAAGGTCTTTCAACACAAATAGTTCAGAGAAGTCAATGAGTCTGCATGGAAAGTGGGATTGAACTGCTTTTGGAGGAAGAGTCAGTTTGCATTAGGTAAAGGGATGAGGGAAAAGACAGGACAATGGTGATGGTGATGATGGTATGTTGATGGGGATGATGATGGTGGTGATGATAGCTACCATTTATTGGGATGTGTGGGTCTGGGTTCATAACATCCAGCCCTACAAGTGTGTCCCTGGGGTCATTCATTTGCTCTTCACGATAGTCCTCGGTGCATGTATTCCTTATTTTACAGATGAGAAAACAAGCTTAGAGAGATTTTCTTAACTTGTCCATGGTCATTCTGCACAGAGACAGACCCTGGGCTCAAACCCTTGTCTGTCTGATGCCAACACATCATAAGGTTAGGAACTCCTAACCCTTATGCTAGGTTGTCTGTCCTTCATATATGCCAGAGATGGTCAAATATGCTTAAGAAATTGAGGGTGAGAGACTAACCAGGCAAAACAGTCTGGGGACAGTTGTGGGACAGGGCTCCCCAGCCTGGGAAGAAAGAAGAATCCAGTTAGGTGGGTAGAATAGGGTGCATTATGGAGAACTGTGAAAGTTAGAGGAAGCCAGTCAGTCAAGTGTATGTTTTCCATAGTATCTCTATGAACCCAGACCCACACATCTTTGTCACTAGGCTGCTTTATTGGATGGAAAATGTCAATATTTTTAATTAGAATGACCTGTACCTAAATTAATTATTTGAACTCTTTTCATTGGATGGTCTAAGCTGTTCTTTGGGTGGCAAGTCTGTACTTGTGAATGGGACGAAGGAAAGTGACGCAGTATGTGGACCAGCTTCGGCTGACTTCTCTCCAGGTACAGCCTCTGCCCCCACGCCTGCCCCTGCAAGAGATCCAGGTAGCTGGTTCATTGCTGTTGAATCAGAGTGGATGTAGTATGGCTATTCTGATTGGAATCTAAATCACCCCAATACTGTGATGCCTCACGTCTCTGCCTACGATGGCACCTCCTGCATGCCTTCCTTGTTTTATCCTGGCATCAAGAAACCCATCAACTTTTTTCAAGTGTTTGTCATGCAATCTGAGACATACATTAGTAAGCAGAACAAGGTGAAACTACCCAGACAAATACTACACCTTTGATAATGTCAAATTAAGGGGATGATGGAGTCCCATATTTTCTATATTCTAGAGAGGCCAAGCCATTTAATTTTTGTGGGCCTCTGGAAAAATTATTTAGGTTTTTAAGAAAAGTTTTCTTATGTGCAAGCAAGTTTATTAGGTTAGCTGGTTAGAGATGTCCAAGGCACCACTTCTCCTTGTGATTAGGGGTTTACCAATGTAACTATAAATATATGTATATTTGCAAAACTGTATATCTGCATGTATTTCTCCTTTTGCTTTTTTTTAAAGGTCACACCCCCCAGATCATCATCTTTCTTGCACTGACTTCGGCTGCCGTGCTGTTGCTGGTGTTCTTTCTCGTGCTCTGTTTCTCTGTTCTTAAACATGGCAGAAAGAAGCTCCTGTATTTATTCAAACAACGTAAGACCAATATAAACATATTCGATATGAGCTCTTCTGAGGCAAGCTTTTTTACAGTAGAAAGGAACAGATTATTTTTTTGGTTAGCATAGCACAGAGGTTATCAAGCAGGGGCAATTTTGCCCCCGAGGGGACATTTGGTAATGTCTGGAGACAGTTTTGATGATCACAACCTTGGGGGTGTGGAGAGCATCTAGTGAAAGGAGTCAGAGATGCTGCTGAAATTCTACAATGCACAGGAAAACAGTTACCCACCCCCCCCAAGCTCTCACCAAAATCTCTGATTTAAAGAATTATCCTTCCCGCCTTCACCCCCACCTATAATACAAATGCTTTGCCAAGAGTAGTGATGAGTAATTAGTGAGTTGCAATGAAACTGTAATCCATTTTTTAAATTTTTAGGCCATTTAAAAAAACTTTATATTTTGAAATAATTATAGGTTTGCCGGAAGTTGTAAAAGACAGTACAGAAAAGTCTCGTGTCGTTCATGGGGTTACATCTCCTGTAACTAGAGCACAATATGAAAACCAGACAGTTGACTTTGGCACATTGTGTGTGTCTAGCTGTGTGTCGTTTGGTCACATGTGTAGATTGGCGTAACCTCCAGCACAATCAATACAGAAGTATTCTCTCACCACCAGGATCCCCTCCTGCTGGTCCTCTGTGGTCACATACACTCCCTCCCCACTCCCTCCTGGCAGCACAATTCTGTTTTCCATCTCTACACTTTTTTTTTCAAAGATTTTATTTATTTATTTGTCAGAGACAGAGAGAGAGGGAGTACAAGCAGGGGGAGCGGCAGGCAGAGGGAGAAGCAGGCTCCCTGCTGAGCAGGGAGCCCGATGCAGGACTTGATCCCAGGACCCTGGGATCATGACCTGAGCAGAAGGCAGATGATTAACCGACTGAGCCACCCAGGTGTCCCCCATCTCTACACTTTTGTCACTTAGAGAATGTTATATAAATAGAAGCATGCAATATATAAGTGGATTGTAAGCATGTGACCTTTTCGGATTAGCTTTTTTCACTCAGCTTAATGTCACTGAGACCCACCCAAGGCGTGATATGCTTCAACTGTGGGCTCTTTTTTTTGTTTTGTTTTAACCGCTGACCAGTGTTCCGTGGCATGGTTGAACCTCAGTTTGTTTGACCATTCACCAACTGAGGGACATTTTGAGAGTTTCCAGTTTTTGACTATTGCATGTAAAGCCTTTGTGAATAATCGAGTACAGGTTATGTGTAGACGTAAGTTTTCACATTGCTAACATAAAAGCCCGGGAGTGCAATTTCTGGGCCATATGGTTTGTTGTTTTAAGAAACTGCCGAACTGCTTTCTGGAGGAGTTGTACCATTAACATTCCACCAGTGGCGTATGAGCTATCCTTTCTCCTCCCTCTTGCCAGCATTTTGTACTGCCACAGTTTCTTACCCAGCTGTGCAAAGACGAATACAGTGATAGCCCACTGTGATCATTTGCCTTCCCCTAAGGGTCAAACATCTTTTCACATACTTCTTTTTTTTTTTTTTTTAAAGGTTTTATTTATTTGAGAGAGAGAGAGAGAGAGAGCACAAGCAGGGGCAGGGGGAGAGAATGAGGGAGAAGCAGGCTCCCCATCTAGCAAGGAGCCCGACCCTGGGATCATGACCTGAGCCAAAGGCAGACGCTTAACCGACTGAGCCACCCAGGCGCCCCTCACGTACTTATTTTACAACTGTGTATTTTCCTCAGTGAAAGGTTCTTTCATGTCTTTGGTCTATTTTCTAATTGGATTTTTGTCTGTCTTACTGTTGACATTGGAGAGTCCTCAATACCTTCTAGATGAGTCCTTCGGCAGGTGTGTGGTTTGTGTTTCTGCCCACTCTGTAGCTCGCCTTTCCCTCCTCTTCATGGAGTCTTCTGCAGAGAAAAAAATTTTAATTTTGATAAAGTACAATTTGCCAGTTTTTTTCATTTATGGAGTCATGTCTGAGAACTCTTCAAGTCCTGGATCGCAAAGATTTTTGTTTTCTCCTTTCTCAATGTTTTACATTTAAATCGTGGTTTATTTTTAGTTAGGTGTTGTATAAGGTGTGAAAGGTTTAGGTCAAGAATTTTTTTTTTTTGCTTTCGATGTCCAATTGCTCCAGCGTCACTTGTTGAAAACATTATCCTTCCTCTACTGAATTGCTTTGGTGACTTTCTCGAAAATCAGTTAATTATACTTGTGCGGGGGCTATTTCTGGTTTTTCCCTTTTGTTCCACTGTTCTGTGTGTTTATTCTCTGCCAGGACCACACTGTCTTGATTACTGTGGCTATAAAACAGTTCTTGAAAGTAGGTAGAGGGTAGATGGATTTTTCCCACTTTATTCTTCTTTTTCAACATTGTTTTAGTTATTCTACTTCCTTTGCATTTCCATATAAATTTTTAGGACAATCTTATCTGTATCTACAAGAAGTCAGCTGGGATTCTGATAGCAACTGTAGTAAACCTGTATATTAATTTAGTGAGAATTGATGTCTTTACTATGTTAAGTATTTATGTCTTAACATAGTAAAGACATTTCTTTTATTTCTTTTTCTTTTATTTCTTTCATCAGCATTTTGTGGTTTTCAGCATACCAATCCTTAGCATGTAAATTTTTTTAAGAATTGCAAATGGTATTTTATATTAAATTTTGTTTTCCAGCTGTTCACTGTTATTCTATAAGAGTATAGTTGATTTTCATAGATTGATCTTGTATTCTGTGATCTTGCTGAACTCACTTATTAGTTCTAGGAGCATGCTGTAAATTCCTTGGGATTTTACGTGGACTGTAATGTCATCTGTAAATAGAGACAGTTTCATTTTTTCCTTTCCAATCTGCATTTCTTTTTTTTCTTTTTCTTGACTTTATGTTAGCTAGAACTTCCAGCACTATGTCAAAGTATGGTCAGGGTGAATATCCTTGCCTCACTTCTAATCTTAGGGAAAAAACATTCAGTCTCTCACCAGTAAGTATGATGTAAACAATAGGTTTTTAGTAGATCTTTTTTATCAAGTTGAGGAAGTCCCTCCTCTATTTCTAGTTTTCTGGTGTTTAATTTTGTCAAATGCTTTTTCTGCATCAATTGATATGATCATGTGACTTTTCTTCATCAGCCTAAAATGGTGGATTACATAGATTCGTGTTTGAATATTGAACCAGCCTTGCATCCCTAGACTAAATTTCACTTGGTCATGGTATATAATCCTTTTTATATATTGCTTAATTCTATTTGTTAATATTTTGTTAAGAATTTTTGTAGCTACATTCACATGAGGGATAGTGGTCCATTTTTTTTTTTTTTCCTAGAATTGTCTTTGTCTGGTTTCGGTATCAGAGTAATACTGGCTTCCTCAAATAAGTTGGGATGTGTTCCTTCTTTATTTGCTGGAAGAGATTGTGTAGAGTGATGTTAATTCTTCTTTGGATAGTTGGTAGAATTCTCTAGTGAAACTATCTGGACTTGAAGATTTTCTTTTTGAAGAGTTTTAATTACAAAATCAATTTCCTTTTTTTTTTTTTTAGAAAGATGAGATGAATCTTTCTTTCTTTTTTTTTTTTAATTTATTTATATGAGAGAGAGAATGAGAGAGAGAGAGCACATGAGAGGGGGGAGGGTCAGAGGGAGAAGCAGACTCCCTGCCGAGCAGGGAGCCCGATGCGGGACTCCATCCAGGGACTCCAGGATCATGACCTGAGCCGAAGGCAGTCGCCCAACCAACTGAGCCACCCAGGCGCCCCAAAATCAATTTCCTTAATAATTGTAGGACTATTCAGGTTATTTACTTCATAGAGAGCGAGTTGTGATCGTGTTTTTTGAGGAATTGGTCCATTTCCTTGAAGTTGTGAAATGTATGTGTTTAAGTTATTCATAGTATTCCCTTATTATCCACTTAATTCTCCAAATATATTTGTGAGCTTGTGTATTTCCCCTTTCAGTTTTGTCAGATTCAGCTTCACTATTTTTTTTTAAGATTTATCTATCTATCTATTTATTTATTTATTTATTTGACAGAGAGAGACACAGCAAGAGAGGGAACATAAGCAGGGGGTGTGGGAGAGGGAGAAGCAGGCTTCCCGCTGAGCAGAGCCCGATGTGGGGTTGGATCCCAGGACCTTGGGATCATGACCTGAGCCAAAGGCAGACGCTCAATGACTGAGCCACCCAGGCACCCCCAGCTTCACCTATTTTGCAGCTTGATTGATGTACACATATTTAGTATTGCTAAATACTGGGTAAATACTGGTCTTCTGGGTAAATTGACTTTTTTAAAATTGTGAAAGTTCCCTCTCTGTGCTGATAATTCTCCACAGCAGCTGGAGCTGTGATTCAGCTCCTTGCCTGGGCAAACCAGGCTCTATAGTGGGCAAAACTCCTTGTTTGAGGGTCTGAATCAGGCAGATTTGCACCCCATCAACTTCCCTAGTCAGGGTGAACCCTCAACTTGGCTCTGCAGATAAACAAAGCTACTGGTTGGGATTGCTACTTGGACTCTGCAAATATGTACTCAGTCTGCCAAGATCTGTGTGCTGGTTGCTGCGAGCTCCTCTCCCTTCTGCAACACAGTCAGATTCCCAGTGGTTGGATGCTGCATGTTCCCCTGCCTTTCCTGGGGTGCGAGATCAGACTAGGAGCTCCCAAAAAGGGACCCCAATGCTGGGAGAAGCTGGAGGTTCCCTTTGGGTCCTCTTTTCCCACTGGAGGAGCCAGAAGCTTGGGGAGACCTGTCTGTGTGGTGCTGTCCTGGCCTGCCAGAGGGGCAATGTGGTCAATGGTAACTGCTTCTCTTACCCTCCTAAAACAGTCTGTTTTGGTCTTTGTGATGCAGAGGTGGGTGCTCCAGCCTCATTCCCATGTTCTAGGATTCTGTCAGTGGTGTCTTGTTCTTGAATAGTTGTTAGCTGTTCTTATAAAGGAGACCAAAGTTGGGAACAAACTATGTTGCCCTCTTGTGATATCACTCCCCTTGGTTATTTTTTTTTTTTTTTACAGCAAAAAGCATGTAATATTAAGGCAGGCACTTTTGCTTTGTCGGGCTATAAAAAAAGATCTGTTTAAGATGAAAAGTTGCTCAGGGCTGGATGGCTCAGTCAGTTAAGGGTCCAACTCTTGATTTTGGCTCAGGTCATGATCTCAGGGTCCTGAGATTGAGCCCACATTGGGCTCCACATTCAGCACAGAGTCTTTTTGTCCCTCTCCCTCTGCTCCTCGCCCTCCACCCCCGACTTGCACACACACACTCTCTCTCTCTCAAATAAATAAATAAAATCTTTTTTAGAAAGATGAAAAGTTGCTCAGCAGTAACACAAATACTTCACCCTAATATGTAAAAGGAAACCAGGAAATTAATGTACAAATCAATTCTTTAATTGCCGATAGATAGAAGTAGTGGGAGTATCTTTAATATCTTGGTGCCATAAGTATTTCATTCAAAAGAAACTGTCTAGTGTGTAATCTGAGTAACCCTCAAGACTAAAATCCATACTGCTTAATTGAAACTATGGTTACGTTTGGGATATGACTAATTTTGTGCTATAGTGATTCATGCTCAAGTTTTTAGCCATCGTAGAAAATAAAGAAAATAGTTTTTCAGGACCAATAAGAGTAATTGGTAAGGTGAAATTGTAAATAATCCTGAGAAAAAGCTCCTACTTGCTATTATCTCTCTTATTGGTAAACTTGTTCAAATTAGAGTTGAGCATGGTTGTGACTTAGAGATGTCCTGTGACTGTGATTTACAGAAACTGGATGTTAAATGGCTAAAACAAACAGCAAAAGATAAGTTGTTTTTAAATCACTTTTCAGCATTTATGAGACCAGTACAAACTGCTCAAGAGGAAGATGCCTGTAGTTGCCGATTTCCAGAAGAAGAAGAAGGAGAATGTGAGCTGTAAAGCAGAAACCCAAAATTCCACTGGGACTGTCTTGAGAAGAATCACAGGGGAAACATGAATGATCCCACCATCATATCTTTTTAAATTGAAGACACTGGTCCTAGATAAGACTCAGGATTACCCCCAAGTTTTCTCAAAATACTGACAGGTTAGCCTTTAAAAAATGTACCCCTTTTAGCGCATGTATGGGACAGAGCTTGTGGGAAAGGGGCATTTTCTAGATAATGCTTAATAGGCTTCAGCTAGTTTGTTTTTGAAATCCAAAGAGAATTATACTTAAAATTACATCACGTAGGCTAATGGCCCAGCTAAAATGATAGTTAAAAATCAATTCCATTTTGTGTGTGTGTGCGCTAATATATGACAAAAAGCCATAAGATGCAGGAAATACCCCCAACCAAATTTTCCATTGGTTCAGATATTCAAGACAATGAGCTCTACTGATATGAGGGGGGAAATTATGACAGTGCCCAGATTTGAGGTCAAGGGAAAAATATCTCAGACCTGAGGGAGAGTTTTGGAAAGAGTTCCAATGTCTTTGCAAACTCTGTGGTCCCCTCCATCTTCGTATCTTCTGCTTCCTGCTGCTCCTCTCTGAACCAGGGCTTACATTTTGGTTCTTTGTTGTTGTTTAAAATTTTTTATTTATTATTGAAGTATAATTGACAATGTTATATTAGTTTCAGGTGTACAACATAGAGACTCCACAATTCTGTACATTATTCAGTGCTCACCATGATAAGTATTGTCCCCATCTGTCACCATACAATGTTATTACAGTATTATTGACCGTATTCCCGACGCTGTACTTTTCATCTCTGTGACTTGTTTATTTTATAATTAGAAGTTTGTGTCTCTTAATCCCCTTCATCTGTTTTGCCCATTTAAAAAAATTAGCTTATGTGTTTTTAATTCTTAAGAACATTAAAAATAATATCTGGCACATACCCTAGATAAATGGAACAGGTGGGAATGAATAATGGTAGAATGAAGTCCCATGAACCCATAGCCCAAACAGAGGACTAGAGCGGAGTTGTCAAACTCCCACAGGCCAGATATGAGGGGTCACGTGTCTCTGGATGGCTTATGAGCTAAAAATGATTTTTACATGTTTAAATAGTTAAAAACAAATCAAAAGAAGACTAATATCTAATGACATGAAAAAGTATGTAAAATTCAAATTTCAGAGTCCATAAATAAAGTTTTATTGGAACAAACAACCACACTCAGGTGGCTTTTGCATTACAACAGCAGATTTGAGTAGAGACAAGACACTGTAAGGCCCACAAAGCCTACAATATTGACCATCTGACCCTTCATAGGGTCAGAGTCAAGGTCAACCACCATCTGTGTTGCTTCCCTCCCTCATCTGCCTACCTCCCCACCTTGTTCCCAGGCACACTCTCTCGGAACTCAATTTGATCCATTCCCTTGCTTAAAAAAAGAATCATTGCTCATATATTTATGTACCCCAAAACTATGTTATTTAATTTTGCTTGTTTTTGAGCTTTATGAAAATGGTATTATGCTGTATGTGACTTGCTTTAATCACTCAAAATTCTATTTATAAAGACTCATTCATGTTATTGTGTATAACTAGAATGCATTCTTCTGATGATTGTATCATTTTACAAATATACCGTAATTTATCGATCCATTCTGAACCAAAGGACGTTTGAGTTGTTTCCAGGTTTTTTTGCAATTATAGACAATGTTGATATGAATGTTCTTTTCTGTGTGTCTTGTGGAAGTGTCTCTAGGGAAACTTCCTTAGAGTGAAATTTCTGGGTCTTAGGGCACATGAATGTTCAACCTTATGAGCTCAGTTATGCAGAAATAAAAAACGACCCTCCTTACCACCCCCCCCCCCCCGCCAATCTTAATGGACTACAGCAAAACAACAGAGATGCAGAGATGCATTTCTTGCTGTCATCACATGCTGGCCGTGGCTCCATCCCACATTATGTCACTCGGGTTTAGGTGGAAGGAGCAGCTTCCACTTGGAATGTTGGGTGTCTCATGACAAAGGGGTACTGGCCACTTTGTTCACAGCTGGTTGGCTAGATTCTAACCTTTAGAGCAAATCACACAGTGAAGCTGTGCACCAACGGGGTGGAAGGCATAATCTTCACCCAGGGAGGACCAGAAAATATGCCTGAACAATAAGAAGTCCGCTGTGGTGCTGAACTGCTTTTCAGAACAGTGGTTCTAAGTCATGCACCTGTCAGCCTCACTGAATCCCATCCTTGCTACCCTCCTGGATCGTCAAACTCTTAACTTTGCCCATCTAGTGGGTTTAAGAGGGCATCTCACTGTGGTCTAATTTGCATTTCCCAAATTACTAATGAGCATCTTGTCACATGTTCTTACATCATTTGTGTTTCTTTTTGTGAAACACTTGCTCATGTTTTTTGCTCATTTTTTAAAAAGATTTATTTATTTGAGAGAAAGAGAGCATCCGTGGAGGGGCAGAGGGGGAGGAAGAGGAGAGAGAATCCTCAAGCAGGTTCCCTGCTGAGCACGGAGCCGGCTCATCCCATGACCTTGAGATCATGACCTGAGCTGAAATCAAGAGTCAGAGGCTTAACCCACTGTGCCACCCAGGTGCCCCATTTTCCACTTGTTTTTAAAAACTTGGTTGTCTTTTTCTTATTGGTTCATAGTTCTTCATATATTCTAGATAATAATCTTTGGTCACTTGTATATGTTATAAATATCTGCCTTGTTTGTAATCTTTTTCTTTTTTACATTATGGCTTTTTCAGTCTTTCCAGTAATAAGCAAAAAAATTCTTACCTTAATTTGGTTAAATGTACAGCTCATTTCTTATATAGTTAACACATTTTTTCTTTCCCGATTAAAGAAGCCCCTCCCTGCCCCAGTATCATAAAGATACTTTCTCACCTTTTATTCTGAAAGTTTTAAGTGTCTACTTAAGTCTAAACTATCAAGAACTGCCTATTGCATGTGTTGTGAGGTCGTGGTCCAACTGCGAGTTCTGTGTGCAGATAACCATTAGACCCAATGCCATTTATTCCATGGTCCTTTTCCCTGCGGATCTACACCACCACCTCTGTCCTTCACCGAGTTTCCACATGTCCGTGCATCCATTCCTACACTCTCTGTTCTGTTCCATTTGTCAAGAAGACTGTCCCCATGCAAATACCACGCTGTCTTTGTTACAGCAGCTTTATAAAAGCTCTTGATACCTGGTAGGACAAATATTTAATTTAATGTCCCACAAAATTTTATAAAGTTTCTCCAGAAACTTTGTACATCATTTATTAGATTTATTTCTAGGTACCTTGCTTTGTGTTTGCTTCTTATTTTATAATTTTTATTTTTTTTATTATTATTTTTTAAGTGGGCCCCGTGCCCAACGTGGGGCTTGAACTCACAACCCTGAGATCAAGAGTTGCACACTCTACTGACTGAGCCAACACAGGCACCGCTGTGTTTGCTTTTTAAGTGGTTTTGTTTGTTGTCAGAGTATAAAGATGTAGGTGATTTGCTTATATTAGTTTATAGCCAGTCTCCTTGCTAAACTTCTTTATTATTTTTGATAGTACGTATGTAGATTCTTTTGGGTTTTCTGTTCAATCATGTTATTTGTTATAATAATAGTTTCTTCCTTTTCTAATCCTTTGTTTTTTATGTCTTTTCTGCTTGACTTAGTGCTGGGTCTTGCAGTGCAATGTAATAGTCTTTTCCATCTTATTTATAGGGGATATTTTCAGGAAAATTTTTTTAAAATATACTTCATCAGGTTAAGTTCCCTTCTGCTCCTGGCTTGTGAAGAGGGTTAGTTTTTATTTTTAAATCATGAATGCATATTGAATTTTACCAAATGATTTTTCTGGGGAAGGAAAGAATAATTTGCTGATGAGTCAGCCAGTGGTTCTATCATCTTTGACTTGGATCTGAACTTCAGCCACATTCCAAGAAAATTACTGCCTGAAAGAAATATAATGTAATAATAGGTATTTCCGTTTTCCTCCCTTCTTTAAAGGATGCATTTTTTTTAACGTTTTGGTGTATGATGTAATTATATGTGCTCAGAAAAAATTTGTTGTTTTAATTTAAATAGATCAAGTAGCTTCATTTGTCTTTGAATCTTGTGGATTACCAGTGCCACTTCAAGACCAAGGCTGGGGTATAAATTCTAATGTGGCTTTCCCTCTCAGCTTTGGGCACCTGGTGTATAATTCTCTGTAGTCCATTATCCATATACACAAAAGGATCGGTCATGCTCTACCGTCTTGGGTCACCTTCACTAACTCAACTAAACTCATCTGTCCCAGATTAGAAACACAGAAAGTCCAGTTTATTCTGTGTTTATTACTCAGATTGTATGATACTTTTATCATGCTATATTTTGGTATAATGTATAAAACTTATAAATGAAAAACAAAGGAACTTGGGGTAGGAGTCATTTTCCCCCTAAGTAACAGTTAACAAAGAAAGAAAACCAAGACAGAATAATATGATCCCCTTTGGGTATTAATTTAGGAATCTGATAGTTTGATAGAAATGAGTGTGCATTTTTGCAAAAATAAATGAGCATATTTAGGGATGTACAAATTGGAAACAGTTTTCTAAATGCTTAAAAGCAAGCTTAGGTTACTTCTGAAACAAATTTTTATTTTCTTTTCTGGAGGAAGGTATCATTCTGATGGAAACTTTTGATATGAGGAGCACATGGCTGCTAAAGTGGGTGTCTTTCTTCTGTGCAGAGCAGACCTTTCCATTTGTGGGTGAGAGGTACCCATGGACCTCAGCTTGGGTGCGTTATATGTGGTCTGTGTGTGATGGGGTGGGGAGGCTGGTCATTACTGATGTTTTTTTAAAAAAAAGGGCTCTGTAATAAAAACACAAAGCTATCATTTTCACAGAAAAAAGAATATCTAAGAAAAGAGCTTATTTAAAAAAAACCCTTCATATTACTATGGCAACATCAATCGTAAATGCTAATCATGGAATAACATGCCGTTCTTTGTAAACCATGGAAGCAGACTTTAGTGCCAGGGTATGTGAAAGATTTAGAGGTTGGGATTTCTTGCTCCCAACATTTTAGATACATAAAAATGAACGTTACTTTTTTTTTATCAATATAGATTCTGATAGCTGTACTTCAAATTAATTGTCATTGAAACCTTTCAAATATGTCTCTTACAAATTCATTGAAGAAGCTGATGCTGACTCTGAAATACAGATCACCACTCCACTGAACTAGCATCCCTCCAGTGCTCTGCACCAGGCACCGTGGGAGGGCACAGAGATAAAGGACCCACTGCCCACCTGAGGGCTTTGAGTCCAGGGGACTATCGGTACAACCTGAGAAGAGACGTAGTGTCACCAAGACCTACTGTGTGCCAGGAATACCATTGTGAAAGTAGTTGGAAGGGTTCTCTCAGCCTGGTAGGGAGACAGCTGTTGTTATGGGGTGGAAGTGGGGCTCTGTGTGGTGGAAAGCCCGCTCAAGAAGGGGTGAAGGAAGGAGGGAAGGCTTGGGGGCAGGGTGAGGAGGAGTTGTCTACTCCCAGTGTGTGTTTCCTAGAAGGAGCAAAGGGCCCAGGCAAAGGGGAGGGAAGGCAGGGGCTGGGGACTGAGGGCAGATGAGGGAAGCTGCAGGGCCAGCAGGGAACACATACCCAGATTTTATAGGCTATGTTGGGAAGCTTGGATTTTAAACTGTGGACACTGACTTCGGAACCAGGGAAGGGATTTGATTAGATTTGCACTTGGGAAAGAGCTCCCTGATTACAGTCAGGAAAATGGATTAATGAGAGACAAGACTGGACTCCAAGCCAGATGAAGGGGCTCCTGCAGGAGTCAGGGTGAGCCTTTTGGAGTGCGGCTCCTGGTTTCTGACCTGGGCAGCTGGGGGTAATGGTGTGTAGGCAGAGCCCAGGTCCTGCAGGAGATGCTGGGGCCGGAAGGAGCTGGTTCAGTGTCAGCACGGACCCTAGGGGCGCCCGGCAGAGGGCCAAGTTGGTGGTGGGAGAGAGGGACAGGGGAAAGTGGTCTCGCAGAGGCCAGGGC